AGGACAAACTGACAGAAACATGATGGATTGCACAGTTAGTTGAATCAATTTAAAACATAAAAAGAGGAAAGAAATGGAGGTGGGTTAACACCTAGGATAGGATGCCAGCAGGATGAAGGTACCATGCTACCTGAATCCTGTGTGACACAATGCTCATATGTGTCCTGTTACTACAAAGCCACAACCCTAAGGTCTAGAAGTATTTTGAGTATTGAGGCTAAAGATGAATTACATCGTACTTTCGTAACTTGCTGTGTTCCAGTGACTATACCATACATGGATTTGAGTACTGGCTCTGCAACTGTATGTCTATTAGCAAGTTACTCAATCTTTATGAGTCTCACATTGTGTATAAGATCTTTATAAAGATTTGGTGAGATAATATGAGAATGTGGTGGACAAACTAGAAAATTATGTATAAATATAAAGGAGTTTCCATATACCTAGTTGCTGTTGAGTTGATTCTGACTCATAGTGTCCCTACAGGACAGAGTAGAACTGCCCCATAGAGTTTCCAAGGTGGTTGCAAACTGCTGACCTTTTGATTAGCAGCCTAACCTCTTAACCATTGTGCCACCAGGGCCCCACAATATAATTAACCTAATTTGTAAAGAAAGCTGTAGTAATGTTTATATTGTTTTGTCACTAAAAGTTCCTATGATCCCAAACTAGTAAATTATTATTATCATCATTATTACTGCCTACCCTTTTTCTTCTAGGCTTAAGTGTATATATCTTTCTGTACCAAAAGCTGTATGTTAGTTTCCTCACTCTTCAATAAAGATATGAGATGTTATGGAAGCAGGGATGGGGCAAATCCATCATTTACCTTCCTTTAGACCCATTTTTTGGTCTTCACCAATTGTCGTTGTTGTTGTTAGGTGCCTTTGAGTTGGTTCCAACTCATAACAATCCTATGTACAACAACGCAACACTGCCTGGTCCTGTACAGTATCATTGCTATGTTTAAACCCACTGTTGCAGCCACTGTGTCAATCCGACCCATTGAGGGTGTTCCTCTTTTTCGTTTACCCTCTACTTTACCAAGCATGATGACCTTGTCCAGGGACTGGTTCCTCTTGATAACATGTCCAAAGCACGTGAGATGAAGTTACGCCATCCTTGAAGTATTTAACAATCCTATATTCACTCCACCTTCTCAATTTCTACTGGCCCACCCAATTTTCCTTCCATTATTACAAAAAGAGGCATCACCATATCATTGCCACATAAATAAGGACAAGCAGAGTAGTATTCTATTGTCTCATTAGCATTCACTTTGCAACACTAGACTCCGAATTAAGAGATTTATAAGTGCTTGAATTCATTTAGGTCGTTCTATATTCCATTTACTACTCTTGGTTAAAAATATTTAGACACATTAACTGTTCTCCTACTCAGAATAAATACTTGTTGACGGGTTTGGTTTTTGTTTTTTTGGTGTTTGTGAATAAGCCAATTGATGACTGTCTTTTGTTGAAGGCAAATTATAAAAATATGTTTTGTTCTCATTTTTAATTGTTTACTTAAGTCATTGAGTTTGGACAAAGGAAAGTACTTGCTCTAAGAGTTAATTTTTGAATTGCTACTGTTAGCTGCTTCCAATGATAATAATGTCCTCAAGTTATGCTGGTAAATAGACCATAGAAACCAACGTACCTCATGAGTTAGCATCACTGATAAAGACAGTAATCGTATGGAGGGAGGAGTGACATGAGCTATATTATGTGAGTAACGGTTGAAGGATATATGGATATTTATTTCCGTGGAAAAAAGATTTTATGGGCTGGCAAACAGCTTTTGTTAGAAAATAGAAGAGAAATTTGATTTACCCTATGTGATCTCAAAGACACAACTAGGATTGACATGTAGAAATTATAATTAAAGAATTTTCAGCTCAAAAAAGGAAGACCTGATTAACAATTTTATTTGTTCAAAAATCCTTATGATAATAAAACTCCATTGCCGTCAAGTCGATTTCAACTCACAGCAACCCTATAGGACAGAGTAGAACTGCCCCATGGGGTTTCCATGGAGTGGCTGGTAGATTAGAACCGCCGACCTTTTGGTTAGCAGCCATAGCTCTTAAGCACAGCACTACCAGAAGGCTATCTAAATTTTAATCTCTATATATCTTCTTAGTATCATATAGATCAAGGAAAATGAATAAAACCACCATATAGCATGATTGTCTACAGCATGATTATGAAACAGAGAATAATATAAACTTTGATTTAGATGTAACTAGGAAAATAAACATTCAGAAACCAGCAGAGCCATCTTTGGACCCTCTTTTAGAGCAGCAAGACCGACGGAGACTACTTCTGTAAAAGAGAGTGCAGAATATTCTTGAGGTGGGAGAACACAGATAAAATCATCCCCTTAAAAGATAGTCCATCCCTGAGGGCAGATGCTAAGACTAAGTCTCAGACCTAGTTAATCACAGTACTGGCTATGGGTAGTTGAAAAAGGGGCTTTGAAAGTGCATGCAACCAGAGTTCGTAGTTGTACCCCTACCCTGGAGGAACACTGTCATGGATTGAATTATGTCTCCAAAAAAATGTTTTATCAATTTGTCTGGGCCATGATTCCCAGTATTGTGTGGCTGTCCCCCATTTTGTGATTGTAATTTTATGTTAGAGAGGATTACAGTGGGATTGTGACCTTACTAAGGTCACATCCCTGATCCAATGTAAAGGGAGTTTCCCTGGGGTGTGGCCTGCACCACCTTTTATCTCTTGTGAGAGATAAAAGGAAAGGGAAGCAAGCAGAGAGTGGGGAACCTCATGCCACCAAGAAATCACTGCCAGGAACAGACCGCACCCTTTGGACCCAGGGTTCCTGCGCAGAGAAACTACTAGTCCAGGGGAAGATTGACGACAAGGACCTTCCTCCAGAGCTGACAGAGACAGAAAGCCTTCCCCCAGAGCTGACGCCCTGAATTTGGACTCGTAGCCTACTACACAGTGAGAAAATAAATTTATTTTTGTTAAAGCCATCCACTGGTGGTATTTCTGTTATAGCAGCACTAGATGACTAAGACAAACAGGAAGGACTTAGAAGGGAGCGCAGCTTTGAAGATGAAGGGTTCCCTTGGATTTTGGGGGTGAAGGGAAAGGAGAAAACAAGTGCTAGAAATTACAGGCTCAACAAAAACTAAAAAAAAAAAAAAAAAAAAAAAATTGAAATATGCCAGTCATCATGCTCCTACCTCTGTCCCCCAGAGAATGTTGGCATCAATTAAGGAATCTGTACTTCATCATACCAAAAAAAGTGGGCACTCTTGAACTAAGAAATCTAATGGGCCACTAAACTCCTCATCCCTTTCTATATACAACTGTATTGCTGGCCCGGGAAAATATAAGACATTCTAACATTAACAGAAAATAGCAGACAACAATCACACAGAGGTACTCCGAAAGAAAATATAAAATGAGAAGTAAAACATTTCAGATGACAAAAATTCCCCAAAACCAACACAAAGCAGAGAAAAACAGTAACAAAATATGTCAATCTAAATTAAACTTCCTTTAGCAAGCATTTGTAGATATTAAAAAAACTCAAAGAAGATATTTAAAAGCTCAAAATAGAAATGGAAAAAAATAGAAATACGTGAAATAAAAGTTGACTGAACTCAGGAACAAAATTGAAGATAAAGAAAAAATCATTTGAGAAATAAAGACTAAGGAAGAATCCTATTGCCGTTGTGTTGATTCCAACTCATAGAGGCCCTATAGCTTAGTCTAAAAATATAATAAGGGACATAAGGAAAAAAATGGAAAAAGCCAAAATAATGAAAATGAAATAAAGGAAGAAGTAAAAAGAATCAGCAAGAAAAAGGCAAAAAGGATCAACAAAAAATGATAGATCCAAAAGACAGGCCAACGAGACAGAACAACAATGAATCTGTGAAGCATCTCATAACATGGATGAAACTGGAGGACACTATGCTGAGTGAAATAAGTCAATCACAAAAGATCAAATATTGTATGAGACCTCTATTGTTAAAAACCCATGAAAAAGTTCACACACAAAATGTAACAGTCTTTGTTGGTTACCAGGGATGGGAGGAGTGGGGGGTGGGAAATACTAAATAGGCAATAGACAAGTGGTATCTTGGGTGAAGGGTAAGACAGTACACAATACAGGGGAAACTAGCACAACTTGTACAAGGAAAGGTCATGGAAGCCCCA